ATGGTGTCCACTTTCAGCATCCCAAATGACTACCCCCTTTCCTTTCTCACAGCTTCACATTCTCCTTTCACCCTCCTCTCTATACTTTCTCAACGTTTTTTTTCACCCTTCTCCCTCTCTCAAGCGTATCATTCTTCGTTCACCCACCTCCCTCTATTTCCTCATAGTTTCTCATTTTTCTTTCTTTTTCCTCTCTTTTTCACGCTGCTCTTCCTCCTTTCTCTCGGCTCTCATATAGTCTTTCTTTTTTCTTCCTTTTTTCTCTGTCTCACTTTTATTTCTCTCTCTTACGCTTTTCCCATTCTTTTTTCAGTCCCCCCTCTCTCTATTCTTTGACACTTTCTCATTCTTTTATGTCCCTTAACTCTCTCATTTTCTCAAGCCTCACATTCTCCATTCATCCTCCTCTCTCTACTTTGTCATAGCTACTCTTTTTCTGTCTCCCTTCTCCCTCTTTCAAGCATAGCATTCTTCTTTCTCCCAACTATTATCTATTTTCTCATAGTTTCTTTTTCTTCGTCCTCTCTTTCTCCCGCTTCTCATCCTTCTTTCTGTTTCTTCTCTCTGTGTGTAATATATTATCTCATTTCTCTCTCTCTCTCTTTCTTTCATTCCTCTCTATTTTCACCCTCTCGCTGTCTTTTCTTCCCTCTCTCTCTCTTACTCCTCTCTCTGTTTGCATACTCTCTCTCTTTTCATTCTCCCTCTTTTCTTCTCTTCTTTATTATTCTCTTTCTTTTCTTCTCTCTCTTTTCTTTCTCTCTCTTTTCTCTCTCTCTCTTTTCATTCACCCTCTCTTTTCTTCTCTTCTTTTTTATTCTCTTTCTTTTCTTCTCTCTAGTTTCTTTCTCTCTCTTTTCTTCCTCTCTATATCCTTCTCTCTCTTTTCATTCTCCCCTGTTTTCTTCCCTTCTTTTTTCTTCTCTTTCTTTTCTTCTCTCTCTTTTCTTCCTCTCTATCTCCCCCTCTCTCTCTTTTCATTCATCCCCTCTTTTCTTCCCTTCTTTTTTCTTCTCTTTCTTTTCTTCTCTCTCTTTTCTTTCTCTCTCTTTTCTTCCTCTCTATCTCCCTCACTCTCTTTTCATTCTCTGCCTCTTCTTTCTTTCTCTTTTTCATTCCCCCTCCCTTTTCTTCTTCTATCTCGTTTCATTCTTTCTTTTCTTCTCACTCTTTTCTTTCTCTCTCTTTTCTTCCTCTCTCTCTTTTCATTCTCTCGCTTTTCTTCCTTTCACTGTTTTTTCATTCTATCTCTCTTTTCTTCCCCTGTCTATCTTTTCTTCCTCTCTCTTTTCTTCCTCTCTCTCTTTTCATTCTCTCTCTCTTTTCTTCTCTCTCTTTCATATGCGCTTCCTTTTCTTCGTTCAGTCTTCTCTCTCTACTCTTTGGCACTTTCTCATTCTTCTTCCTCCCCCTCTACTTTCTTACAGTGTCTCTTTCTTTTGTCTCCCTTCTTCTTTCAACCTTCTCATTCTTCTACTCCTTCTATTCGGTATTAGTTTTTCTTCTATCCCTCTTCTTCTACCATGCTCATCATCCTTCTTTCTCCCACCTACCCCGTCTCTCTTGCTCTCTCTCTCTCTCTCTCTATTCTTTAATAGTTTTTCTTCTATTTTCCTTCGTCCTCTCTATTTTTGTTTAAGCTTCTCATCCTTTTTCTCCTTCTCCTCGCTAATTTCTTATTCTTCTATCCCCATTCTCCCTCCCTCATTCTCGAGCTTCGCATTCTTCTTTCGAACTCTCCTCTCTACTCCCTCATGCCTTTCATTCTTCTTCCACTTCTCCTTCTTACTCAAGCTTTTGATTTTTTCCGTCCTTCCCCAGTCTCTTTTAAGTAGAATTAATCTTCCTTTCCATCCCATTGTCTGTTCTTTTGTTTCCTTGTCTTTTTCTTTCATTTTTCTCTTTAGTCTTTCATTTGTTTTTTCCTTCCTTCCTTCCTTCCTTCCTTCCTTCCTTCCTTCCTTCCGTCCTTCCTTCCTTCCTTCCCTACCTTCCTTCCTATCTTACTTACCTTCCTTCCTTACCTACCTTCCTTCCTATCTTCCTTACCTTCCTTCCTTACCTACCTTCCTTCCTATCTTCCTTACCTTCCTTCCTTACCTACCTTCCTTACCTTCCTTCCTTACCTTCCTTCCTTCCTATCTTCCTTACCTCCCTTCCTTACCTACCTTCCTTCCTTACCTTCCTTCCTATCTTCCATACCTCCCTTCCTTACCTCCCTTCCTTCCTTCCTATCTTCCATACCTCCCTTCCTTACCTACCTTCCTTCCTTACCTTCCTTACCTTTCTTCCTTCCTTCCATCCTTTCTCACCTTCCTTCCTTCCTTCCTTCCTTCCTTCCTTCCTTCCTTCCTTCCTACCTTCCTTACCTTCCTTTCTTACCTCCCTTCCTTATCTACCTTCCTTCCTTCCTTACCTTCCTACCTTTCTTACCTTTCTTTCTTCCTTTCTTCCTTACCTTCCCTTCCTTCCTTCCTTCCTTCCTTCCTTCCTTCCTTCCTTCCTTCCTTCCTTCCTTCCCTAATTTCCTTTCCTTTCTTCCTTACCTTCCTTACGTTCCTTCCTTCCTTCCTTCCTTCGTTCCTTACCTTTCTTCCTTACCTTCCTTACCTTCCCTTCCTTCCTTCCTTCCTTCCTTCCTTCCTTCCTTCCTTCCTTCCTTCCTTCCTTCCTTCCTTCCTTCCTTCCTTCCTTCCTTCCTTCCTTCCTTCCTTCCTTCCTTCTATTTTATCGTATTTACTGACCTTACCTTATTCGAATTCTAGTTCAGATCGCATATGTGAGCTATCCAAGAATAATCGACGGATCTGCATGGTTGGCTTGCTAACCATTTTATCGAGTGGAGTCAGACATTTCCATATTTCTGCTTATTTTTTTTATCAACACTACTGATCAAACAACATGCATGCGATAAAAAAAAAGAAAAGAAAAGAGAAAAACTTTATGATTAGCTAGTGAGGCTATTCTGTCAGAACTTCCTACCAGGATTCATTATTGGCGACAACAGTCTTTAACAATATATACAGATGATAGAGTGTTGATAGCAGACACGGAAAGTAAACTATAGATAGTAAAGGAAAGCGAGAAGAAAGGACTAACTATCAATTGTAAGAAGGCACAATGTATAGTTGTTAGTCAAATGTACAACCCAAGATGCGAACAAGAAATTAAAGACATCAACATCAAGCAAGTACAAAAATTTCAATGTCTAGAAAGTATTTTAAGAGGGGACGGAAAATACGGCACCGAAATCCGAAGGCGCATTGGAATGGAAAAAAGATGCTTCCCAGAAGTTAAGTAACGATATTAGGAAACAGGAAAATTTCGTTAGAAACTAAAGAGTGCTGGACTGTTATGTAATATCGGTCTTCCTACCGGCTGTAACACCAAAATTGTCCAAATCGTGTAACATCATAATTGTCAATCCCACAAAATGTTTAATATCTAAAAAAAAAAAAAAAAATAAATAAATAAATGAATTAAATTTTTAGATAGACACCATTCTTCTTGACACCATTTGTCGTAAGAACCACTAAAAACCCTTTGAGCTATTCAGCTAGAAAGAGAACAGGTTAAAACTGTTTTTTGTCAGTTTCACTATGTCTTCCCAACTGAGCAATGGTGAGAGGAAAAAGATCATTCTGGCTTTCAGTAATGGTACCGACATTCATAATCTGGCTTCCATCTTCAAAGTCCATTCAAGAACCAACAAGAGAACGGTGAATAAGTTTAAAAAAGAGCGAACAGTAGAGAGGAAAAATGGATCAAGAGGTCACAACAGGAAGAAGGACCATCATTTCAGCTTAGAGCTAAATACATTCTTATTGTTCAAAGTAGAGTCCAATAGTTTTATAAAAACCTCGGAGAATTCCAGTAAGATATCTTTAATCATTTCTAAGATACAACGGTTCAGTTCTTAATCTAACAATTGGAAATTTTGCTGTTACACGATTTGGACAATTTTGCTGTTGCATCCGGTATACGGCAGATGACGAAGAGACTTGAAGTAAGAGAAATGTGGTTCTACAGAAGGATACTGAGAATACCAAGGCTTCCTTGCATCACTCATGTCGCCTTTGCGAGCGATTCAAAATAATAAATAAAAATGGCGGCGTTGGACGATAAGCAGTCCAACCTGAATTAGACTCCTATGCTGAGTAAAATTTGCAGAGAAATAAGTATTTCTTTCTTTCTTTTTATGTGCCATGTCTCTTCAGGACGTAGGCGATCATGGCTCTCCATTTCCTCCTATCCCTTGTAGTTCTCAATAAGTTTTGTCCCTTTGCTACTATCTCCAGGTCCTGTTCTGTCATCCACTTGCTTAAGCCCCCTAGGTATGTCATGCGTTGCTTTCCCTTGTCCCTCTTTCCCTCTATTCGACTTGTTAGTATCAGATTCTCCAAGCCCTCCTTTCTCATTACGTGTCTCAAAGATTTCAGCAGTCTCTTCCTGATGTTAATTATAAGCTTCCTCCTTGTTTGCATCCTCTGTAAGACCTCATTGTTGCTCACACGCTCGGTCCATGAAATCCTTAGCATCCTTCTGTAGAACCATGCCTCCGCCGCCTGGAGTCTCTTCTTCATCTTTGAGGAAATCGTCCAACATTCGCTGCAGTAAAGAAGGACAGATGTCACGTAACAGCTCAGTATTCTTTTCTTCGTTACCAAAGAAATCCTCCTGTCTCGCAATACTCTGCCCAGCTTTTGGAATGCTTCCTTGGCCATCCTAATACGTCTACGGATCTCAGTGTCGCACTTACCGTCCTCTGTCAAAACCCTTCCCTGATATTTAAACTTCCGCGTCTGCTTGATTCTAGTGTTCCCGACCTGCAAATCGCATTTCGAGCTTCCCTGATATTTAAACTTCCGTACCTACTTAATTTTAGTGTCTCCGACCTGTAAATCGCATTATTACAATGACAAAAATATTTTTCATAATATATAAATAGTCCGAATTACAATATAGGTCTGGTACAAAATTTGCAGCTACAATTATCAAGGCAGATTAACCTATGTTTCAAATTTAAACCAGTTTTCCGTTAAATAAAATACAGTTCATGTACAGCAAATGTTTTCCTTAATGGCATTTTAAATAACTTTTAGTTCAACAAAAGACATTTATTGATTTCGAAATGTTCACAATTCAAAATGTCGCTACAAAAACAAATTTTTCGAAATTTTATATAATTAAATAAGTGGAGGTATGGTAACAGATATAAAAAAAATATTTTCAGCAAGATTTTTAAAAAAAAATAAAGATTTTAAAAATTATTTCATTCATTTGTGAATAAATCCTGAAGGTTTCATCTAAATCCGACAAGTATTTGATTTTTGCTAGAATTTCCAAATAAATGTTTTTCACCGCAAAAAGACGCTGAAATTTCCCAGACTAATTATGTCCCCCTTTAATGCTAGAAAAACAAAATTTTTAACCAAAATTTCGAAGCTTCTAGAAGGGATTAGAAAAATCTTTACATAAAAATCTTCTGATCTTTTCTCTTGATAATAATACAAAGATTTTGACGATAAAACATTGTTTTATTAAGTTTTCGTAATTTTTTTGTCATATTTGCTCAGTTTTAGCGAGTCTTTGGAGATATGTATATCCAATAAAAACAAATGTTTTTGTGTATTCATGTTCTGGATTGCTTAATCTATAGTAATATACGAAAAAAAAAAAGGGGGAAAACATGATTAGCTATGGTCGGAGTGCCGATTAAACAACTTCCCTAGATTAAGAAATAAAATATTAAAGAAAGAAAGTGAAAAGTAGCCTGATAAGAGGACATCATTCACTCACACATTCACTCACATTCGTGCTGACTCACTCACTCTTACTCACACGTTTCCTCATCGCTTCCACAATCCCTCATGCTCCCATTCATTCAATAAAGCTTATCAAACAGCAAGTAAATAATAAAATAGAAAAAAAAAAAGGTAGAAAAAGAAGCGAGTTGAATATTAGTTTCTTCTTTTCCTATATATATTTATCATCTCTCACTACTTCTGTTCATTTTTATTCTTCCTATCTTTCTCATCTTGGATTAGAAATAAAAAGGCACTGCTGTCAATCATAAACCCGAGATAAGATAAATATCAGCTATGTCTCATCGAAGGCGTCCATTGCTTGACTGGTCGCGTCAAATCATTTGATTTAGTCCCGCCTGCTAAAATCCTGCCGGCCGCCATTTTGAAAGTCGGTTCCATCCGAAGCCTCAGGAACTCTGAAAAGGTTCGTTTCATCCCAACAACTACGAATAAAAGCGTTTAGCAACATCTGTACCTCCTTGGACGAAGATTCCATCAAGCGAAATGAGATTAAGTGAACCATTTATGACTTTTACAGCAAGTTTGACGTTTCCGACAGACAAACAGAGCCGGCTTTACATTCGCGTTAACCGTTGCAGGGCGGAGACCGTCTTCAGAAGCGACTGTTTTATTTTCTGGATCTATTAACGATCAGCAAATTCAACAAATCTGGAGAGAAAAGAGACCATGGTAATTCATTGACTATTTTAGTAATAACGAAATATTTCTAAAGCTTTCACATTAATATTCAGAAAGGATGTCGTTGCTATTATATATTCATTCTTTCTATCCAGTTTCTCCAACTTTCTACGTTCGAGGTTTAGACAAAGTCAAAGACATCTCCTGTAAAAAGCTAAGACCCCCCCCACCTCGAAAGGAGGCATCTCCAAGTAGATATTTGCACACGCGGGTTGAAATACAACCAATGTTTACCTTTTGATTCAAGTGTAAATCGGACCTATGTCGACTTTTCGACTCAAATATAATCCTTGTTGAAAACAAGTGTCAACCGGACATATTTTAATGTATCTATCAATCCGTTGTGATTTGCTTTCCCGTAAAACTTGTGTTCGAGATTAAATAACTCTTCAGAAGTTATTGATTGAATTTTTACGGTTTATCAACCCATTAGTGGTAATTTAAACCAGAAAATATTTTTAGTTTGTAAGAACTTTTGTAGTTTAGTAATACAAGTCTTACTAATTAACCCATAGCTAGGGGAAGAAAAAGGTTGATTTAAACCTTTTCCAAGGGTATTTGTGCGTAAGTGAATATAACAAACACACCGGGAATTGGAACTCGGCTCTCCGATTAACAATTCCGAGCGAGTATCAATTACACCATTTATTATCCATAAAAAGAATACCCGCTCGGCCCGGTGGCTAGGATCAAAGTGTAGTATCTGCGCTTTGTGAGCTGCCGGGTCGGGTGTCTGTCGAACTCTCTGCTTGCAGAGAGGAACCTGGACGAAGCTCCGCCAAAGGGTAGGGTTTCGTTCGGGGAGGTTGACGGAACTAGCCCGCTTGGACGGGTTTAGATGGGTTTTATTTTTGGCTGGGCCTACGGGCTCAGACATACCCACATTAAAAAGGCCTTGTGCCACATTCGATCCCCGTGGGTGGATTGATAAACACCATCAATTACACCACCTGCATATCCAGGCTTATACCACTTGGTGTTCCCAAGAGGAACCTCATCTAGGTATTGACAAGGGTCACCGTTGCTTGACTTAGGTGATTGTGCAAGAATCTGTTTCAACGTGATGCGGCCATAATCCATAACAACCGCAATATCCAAGGTTACAACACCTCGCATTCCCAAGCGGTCACTCATACAGGTACAGACCAGAGTCGACGTTGCTTAACTTCGGTGATCGTACGAGAACCGATGTTTCAACGTCATATGGCCGTGAGCCATACCAGCCGCATATCCAAGCTTACAACACCTGGCATTCCCAAACGGTCACTAATCTAGGTACTGACCAGGGTCGACGTTGCTTAACTTCGGTGATCATACGAGAAATGGCGTTTCAACGTGATGAAGCCATACTGCCCGCATATCTAACCTTACAACAGCTAGCATTCCCAAGTGGTCACTCATCTAGGCATTAACCAAGATCGACGTTGCTTAACTTCGGTGATCGTACGAGAACCGGAGTTTCAACGTGATGTGGCCACGAAACATACCATCCGCATATCCAAGCTTACAACACTTGGCATGCTCAAGCGGTCACTCATCGAGGTACTGACCAGGGTCGACGTTACTTAACTTCGGTGATGATACAGGAACCAATGTGATGTGGCCGTAAGCCCTCAACAGAATTTATGGCGTTTACGCATATCCTCTCGACGTCAGTTTTAATTGGTATTTACATTTGGCACCATTTCAGATGTGCTGTTGGTGTAATAGGTAACCCGTAAATATCGCTTGATGTATGTAAATGTATGATAATTCTAGTTTGTCTATGTGGGATTCAAATGATAATGTATATGCGCAAGTGTGTGCATTCGTGTGTGTGTCTAATATACATTATGTTTGTTGCTTTTTCGCATGTTGCTTTGGGAACGTTTTTACATATACGTTGTTTGTTTTAAATAAACATACGTTAGATTCTTTAAGAATGGTTACAATAAAGGTTGGTGATGTAATATGTTTTTCCAGCGGTTTTATAGTTGGTAATATCGTTATTAGTAATCTCTCGAAATACTTTAGATGTAAAGAATTATATACTTTTTAGGAATAATCGTCACGGGGACTTGACGTGACAAGTTACATTCACTTTGGCACAAACACTCTTGGTTAAATGGCAGCGAAGACTGGATTGGCAACGAGTCGAGGAGAAGGAAAATCTGAATTCAAAACCGTATGTTGACCTGGCTTGCACGTACTATGCAGATCATGGAGTTGATACTTTACTATTACGGTTTTTTTTTCATTTTAAATCTGCTGCTATTAAATTTGTAAATAATGGCACTATAAAAATCTTTTAAAAATATACATTTAGAGACAATTTGCTGTTAGATGACGATTAAGGGATTAGTATTATTTTATTTGTATGTTCGATGTCCTTTCAGGACGTAGGCGATCATGGCTCTCCATCTCCCTCTATCCCTTGCAGCTCTCAACAAGTTCTTTCTCTCTGCCACCTCCCTCAGACCACGTTCTGTCATTCACTTGCTTAAGCCTGTCAGGTATGTCACGCGTTGTTTTCCCTTGTCTCTATTCGACCCGTGTGTATCAGATTCTCTAGGCCTTCCTTCCTCATTATGTGTCCCAGAAACTTCAGCTGCCTCTTCCTGGTGTTAAGCATAAGCCTCCTCCTTGTTTACATCCTCTCTAAGACCTCATTGTTGCTCACACGCTCGGTCCATGATATCCTTAGCATCCTTCTGTAGAGCCATACCTCTGTCGCCTCGAGTCTCTTCTTCATCATAGAGGAATCGTCCGACATTCGCTGCCGTAAAGAAGGACAGATGTCACGTAACAGCTCAGTATTCTTTTCTTTTTTTTTTTACCGAAGAGATCCTCCTGTCTCGCAATACGCTGCCCATCTTTTGGAGTGTGTCCTTGGCCATCCCAATACATCTACGGATCTCAGTGTCGCACTTACTGTCTTCTGTCAAAACACTTCCCAGATATTTAAATTTCCGCGTCTGCTTGATTCTAGTTTTCCCGACCTGCAAATCTCATTTCGGGCTCTTCCTCTTACTGATGACCATGCATTCTGTCTCATTGTAGTTTATGCTTAGTCCTTTCTTCTCACTCCCCGTCGCTACCTTATGTAGGAGATGATATGAAATTACCTCAATTTTTCCTGGGTACCGTGGTCTTGCCCCAAATTATGTTAAAATTAATAAATAACCATGTGTATAATTAGAAAAATACTGATATATCATATACTAGCAGCATGGCCCGGAGTTGCCCGTGCTTGATTCAAAAATCGTAGGACTCATACAGCAATCGCTATCACTTGACTTAAAATATTTTTGCCCTTCCTTGCCTTTAAAGGAGTGCCCTTTGCCGTGCTGATGTTGCTACATGCCTTACTTCTTGTCTATCTCACAGTGCGAATTTTTTCTAAGCTCTATACTAAACATTAAATCTGTTCCGAAAAAAGAACTAAACAAAATGAACACAAAACGATCAGCTTTAAAAAAGGACTCGCAACTGGAAAAACCGAATGAAAAAAGAATGTTAACAACAAATACTTTTTCACACCCCACCCAGTTCTGTGAAATCAGCATCAACGTTGTTTAAGTAAGCGAATGAGCCAATTGGAGTAAAGTGACATGCAGATTTAAATTTTTCCCACTTGTGACGAATGCAGCTATCGATTTTTTTGCATGCTAGCATGCTAGTTAACATTCGAGTCAGTCAACTGTTGGCTCTCACGCTGGCCAGTAGAATCTTCCTGCTTATTCATGGCAGCCAGCTATAGGCTCTCACTCTGGCCAGTAGGAAATGGCTGCAAACTACATGAAAACTGCCGTAGAAGCATGAAAAAATCGATTATTTCCACTATCGATGGGAGTTGGGAAATGCAAAGTCGGTGTTGGCCTTTCCGCTAACTTGGAGCATGTGCGTGTTAATTTTGGTGCAAATCCGTCGAAAATTGCGGCCGTGCATTCGTTACACACACACACACACATCCTGACTTTTATAGATAGAGATATCGCAAACTGATTGAAATACGGTATTCTAAAATCGGTCAGTAATATCTAACACTAACAGTGATTCAATCTCTGCGTCAGTCTGTAAACAAGATGGCCGCATTATTATTTTTCTGCGACGACAAATCTTGATTTAAATTTCCTTTGTTGCTTCCGATTTTTTTTAATAGAATTCTTTTCTATTTTATTTTTTATGGCTTTAATTTTGATTCCATTACTGAAATCCAGTGAAAAGATTATTTAAAAAAAAAATGGCGATAAACTAGAAATCGAATCAGCTGTATATGTTATCAATAAAATATAAATTAAAATCAATTTCAAAGGAAGACATAATTTTGCAACAACGCAAATCGTCCGGCACAGCTATAAACGCACACATATATACGTACATATACTGATTGTCTGGTTCGTTTTCCACGGCATATCAACCATTTGCAGACTATTTAAACCAGAAAATCTTATAAGATATAACGAATACACCTGGAATTGGAATTCGGCTCTCCGATTAACAATTCCAAGCCATTATCAATTACATCACCAACATATCCAGGCTTATAACACTTGATGTTCCCAAGAGGTCACTCATCTAGGTATTGACCAGGGTCACCGTTGCTTAACTTCGTTGATCGTACGGGAACTGGTGTTTCAACGTGATGTAGCCATAACATCCGCATATCCAACCTTACAACACCTGGTATTCCCAAGCGGTCACTCATCTAGGTACTGACCAGGCTCGACGTTGCTTAACTTCGGTGATCGTACGAGAACTGAAGTTTCAACGTGATGTGGCCATGAGCCATACCATCCGCATATCCAAGGTTACGACAGCTGGCATTCCCAAGGGGTCACTCATCTAGGTACAGACCAGGGTCGACGTTGCTTAACTTCGATGATCGTACGAGAACCGGAGTTTCCACGTGATATGGCCATGAGCCATACCAGCCGCATATCCAAGGTTACAACACCCAGCATTCCCAAGCGGTCACTCATCTAGGTACTGACCAGGGTCGACGTTGCTTAACCACTCTTTCAATGTGATGTATCCGAAAGCCCTCAATAGATGTTATGACGTTTACGCATATCCTCCTGATGTCTGTTTAAATCGGTGTGTACTTATGACAACATTTTTAATAGGTAATAGGTAAGCCGTAAATATTGCTTTTGATAAACAAATAAATTATTTGGGGGATCAATTCTATATTTCAACCAATATATAAACTTATCCCTCACTTTGTGGCCACAGTAGTTTCTATACTTTTCTATACCAGAGAATGTAAATAAATCTAAAAGATATGCCTGTGTAGCTAAACAGTATTTCATTGATTGAGTGAAACGCTTTCTACGGTTTACCAACACTTTGCAGGTTATTTAAAGCCAGAAAATATTTTTAAATTGTAAGAAGTTTTTTTTTTTTTTTGCCGGGAGTAGATAATAATAATTTAGTCTTACTAATTAACCATAGCTGTGGGGGAAAAGATGCAGATTCATACCTACTCAGAATTTGATAAACAAATAAATTATGTGGATATAAAGTGGGGGATCAATTCCATATTTCAACAAAATATAAACTGATCCCCCACTTTGTGATCACAGTAGTATCTATACCTTTATATTCCAGAGAATGTAAGTAAATCCAAATGTCTGTGTAGCTAATATGCATTTCAATGATTGATTGATTCCTTTTCTACGGCTTATCAACCCCTTGCAGGTTATTTAATGCCAGAAAATATTTTTAAAATATAAGAATTTTTTTCTGGAGATAATAATGGTTTTAGAGATATAGGTTTCACTGATTCACCCATAGCGAGAGGAGAAGAAGTTGATCCATACATTTCCCAAAGATATTTGCGTGTAAGTGAATATAACGATCCGAACTGGAATTGGAACTCGGTTCTCTGATAACAATTCCGAGCCCTTATCCATTACACCACCCGCACATCTAAACTTACAACTCCTGGTGTTCCCAGACGGTCACTCGTCTAGATACTGACCACGTACATATATTACATCACCAAACTTTATTGAATCTAACGTACGTTTAACGGTACGTATGCGAAAACGTTCGAAAATAAACATGCGAAAAACTATCAAACATAATGTCTGTTAGACATACCCACACACCCACTAACGAAAATACATTATCATCTGAATCCCACATAGAGAAACTAGAATTATTATACACTTACATATATAAAGAAATATTTACGTGTTTTTTTTTTCGTTGGACTTGGAATGCGTTAATTTTTTGGAGCTTCGAAAGGACGTGTCGTCTCTTCTTAAATTAGGAATGCCATAAATTACACTAACGTTTATTTATCAAGCCGACAGCACATAAAACATGATTAATCACTGAAAATTAAACAACACAATATTAAAATGCCAAAATTTTTCTTCTTTTTCTCTATATCTTATTCTCTGATGAGGCGTTACTAAAATGGAAGCATATTAGATTAATAAACGTTCCCTATTTGTTCTTTATCTTCTCTCTCTCTCTCTCTCTCTCTCTCTCTCTCTCTCTCTCTCTCTCTCAGTATATTTAATATAACGGAGCATATAAATTACACTGCAAAATCCAAAATTAACTCACATAGGAGGAATCTATTTCAACCGACGAGATTTTTCGACTGCTGTCAAAGTTAAATTTCTAATCCCGACACAAACACAGTCTATACACCGGGGTTGAATAAGACTCACATAGTTCCCGTCGGTTGAAATAGATCTGTTCATCTCCGTATATGGTAATTTTGCTTTTTTTTTTGTGATATCTATCTATCTATCTATCTATCTATCTATCTATCTATATATATATATATATATATATATATGTGTGTGTATGAGTGTGTGTGCAATTTACCATTACAATTATTCTACTGAAGTACTCTAAATATTTGGCACTGTTTCCGGCAAGGGAATGTTTTTCTAAAATATTTTATGACAGCCGTCAGTTAATATTTGTGAAACTGAAAACAAAATAAAAAAAATACTGTCACTATCGAATTTATTACTTATTGGCTGACATGTGCCGTCTTTTCGTTTACATTTATCAAGTTTTGTGTTTACTTTGAAGAACTATTTCCTTAACAAGACATAGCAAAATACTGATTAATATTTTTTTCTCTTTACAGGTAAGCATACTTTATTTACTCTCCTGAACAACTAGGTAAGTGAATTCACGACATCTCTTTTTCGTCAGCTTTATTACAATTCCTTATTCATTTTGTGACGTACGGCGGCCGTTAATAATTAAAAAAAAACTCAAGACTTCAATGTTAAAAGATAAAACATTATATACCGTAATTTCCGGTTTACGAGACGCTGCGGCTCAGAAGAAACACCCTAATATTAGAAAGAAATCCCCATACAACAACATATTCACCATGCGTCCCTCACATACTGGTGGGCGTATTTTTTACATTAATCACTCGTCCGATGTTTGTATGGCAATGACATACTAGACAAGAGCAGAAAGGCTCCCGCCACTGCTAGTAACAGTCCATGTTAAAGCTTGTGGCTCGGCTCCAGGAAGGTTTATAGTCTTAGAAATACTTGTAACAGCTAAGTACTGAGGTTACATTATATAGAAGGCTGAATAAATAGATAGCTAAAATAATAACTCAAGATATAAATCCACGTCCCTATCAATCAAGCCAATTCGGTGACCGTTCAAGCTTACTTGAGCCTGGGCGTTATCTTACATTCGTGTTGGAAGATGCACACCTATTTTTAGGGTATTTTCAGGAAAAAAGTGCGTTTTGTAAGCCGGAAAATATGGTTATTACAACCGCAAATAAATACTTAACAAGAACAAAGAAGTAAAAGTCAATCAAAGATAATAAACCACTCCAGAAAATACTTTCTTAGTAGCGCGACCCGGCTTAACGTCTAGTAAATCCTAAATCAAAAACCCAAATCATTGACGTACAATAATTCACACTAATTCGACTGGATAGTTACACTCTATAAGCAATCAATAATCACTGCAGTCAGTAGCCTGACACCGCTATTTATACACCTGGCGGAAAACATATATTCATAAGTCCAGAGTGTCACGTTCGAACCTCAGTGTCGGTAGTTATTCATTTTCTTCCTATATGACAATTCACAATAGCTTATATTAGCCCATAAGCTAACAGTTTACGATGTTCAGAAAATTTTGCAGGCGTCTTTTATATTTACTCAGAACTGTATTTTTTGTTCACATAAGGTAACTATAGTAAGTTGTTTGCATGCGCGCAAGCGCAGAAACCACCAACGTAGGGTCATGGTTACTTAGCGTCCTCCACGATTTCCTTCCTTTCCACAATGTCGAGAGATTTTCGAATATATTTTAGAATGTTCTCAAACTTAAATTGGAATGCATAGCGTTATTTATTCGCAAAAATCAATTCTCTGTGTATATGAATACGTATTTTTGTCAATACATTTCTACATTTGCATTAATGAAGATACCCAAGGCAATAAAACGCGTTGTAAAAATAGGTTTTCCTCTTCTCTTTGTCTTTACCGATACATTCATTTATATTTTGATTTTTACAGACACACAACCCATAAATACACACACACACGCACACACAGATGCACACACACTCACAGACACACACACACACATATATATATATGTTTCATTAAATAATATAGACAAGTGTTGTCTATTTATTTTATGTAAATTCTTTTCATAACGTCTGATAAGCTTAATAACATTATCATTAAACGAAGAAAGAAAATCACAATATTGATCCATATCAAAGATGACAATTACAATACAATATATTAAGAAATACTATTTCGCCATACAAAAAACCTACCAGCATAAATTCATGTACACTTAACTACAAGAGCGAATGCCCATATTACTACAAAATAGCAATTATAAAGACTCTAATACATCGTGCAGAAACTAATTCATCCACAAAACAGATTTTTTACAGTGAACTAAAGAATATAAAACAAACACTTATTAATAATAGCTTTTCAAACTATATAGTTGATGAACAAATAAGATGCCTTCTTAGAAATCTCAATACTAAGCAAATGGTACATAATACTGCTTCTACTAATCTCAAACATATTAATCTCCTATATCGTAATCAAATGCATACTAATTATAAACAAGATGAAAATATACTAAAAAAATTAGTAAATACTAATATATCTACAACAGATACTAGCAAAAAATTAAATTAATCATATACTAAACTAAATCTAGTATATCCAACTCAATTATTCGCAATGATTCTTCTCCCCCGGTGAGCGATTTGCAAAAAGCCAACATAGTTTACAAATTCAAGTGCGCTTTGGGAGATTATATCTCCAACTAATTAAATAATATTTATGTTGGTCACACCACAAACTCGCTTTCACGACGCTTGACACTACATTTGAATGAAAACAACATGCCTGGCCGCATACACAATTCCGTAAAATCCTTGTTGAAAACACAATTATACTTAAACATGAAAACAATAAACAAAAACTGAAAATTCTTGAAGCTATATACATAAAACAGTTGAAACCTAACCTGAACAAAATAAACTACGAAATCTCCAAAAATATTCTTAAATGTCTATAATTGGTAACAGAAGCCATTGGTTTATACTAACGGCTTCCCATACTTAATACTTCTCGAATTCACTCTCGTGTGTGACGTCATGAGCTGCGGTGCGATTTTCGCTTCCAGCGTCTTATATGCACGTTTTTATCGCTGGTTGGAAATCATCCATGTAAACAGAAACAGACTATCATCACATTCTTGCCCGTGTATTGCTTAATATATTGTACTGTAATTGTCATCTTTGAGAATGGCTTATGTAAGACGAAAGCTTAGATTGGATTTAAAAAAATATGGATCAATATTGGGATTTTCTTTCTTCGTTTAATGATAATGTTATTAAGCTTATCAGACGTTATGAAAAGAATTTACATAAAATAAA